CCCCCCCCCCCCCCCCCAAACCCAAAGGCACCAGCAAAGGCAGGCCGACGTACTTCACGCTCACTGCCGGGTCTGCGAGGACATCCAGCACCCGCTCAAGATCTGAGTTTTGCAACAGGCTGGAGTCTTCAAATTTAGGGTTGGAGGGTTTTATATGTTTGTAGGGTTTAGGGTCTTAGGTTTAGAGTTTTATATGGCTTTAGGGTTTTAGGGGTTTTAGGGTTTAGGGTCTCAGGGTTTAGGGTTTTAGGGGTTGAGGGTTTTAGGGGATGGGTTTAGGGTCTCAGGGTTTAGGGTTTTAGGGGTTTAAGGTTTAGGGGTTAAGGGTTTAGGGCTTTAGGGTTTTAGGGTTTAGGGTTTTAGGGGTTGAAGGTCTTATATGGTTTTAAGGTTTAGGGTTTTAGGGGTTTAGGGTTAGGGTTTAGGGGTTTAGGGGGCTTCGTCTTTAAAGGGCCGTGGGGAGAGGTGGTCGAGAAAGTTTTAGGGCCGACACCTTAAGCTTGAATACTACCTCTTACAGAATCGACTCACATGGGTGGTTGTCAAAATTATGGTCCCTTTTTGGGTCCTTATTATAATACGGCACCTATTATTTAGGGTACCCCAAAAGGGACCCTAATTTTGACAACTACCCATGCGGTGCACTTTTGTGATGAACCCCAAACCGCGCTGGGAGGATCAGTGGCATTACCTCTCGCTTTATAGAAATGGAACTTGAGACTACAGGCCGCAACAGAGCAGTGTGCCGAAAAGGCGTGGCACTCTTCGCCTCTCCTAAATCCCAGTTTTGCTTTCCATACCTTGCACGGCCTTGACTTACGGGAGTGCCTAATGTAGGGGCTTTAAAATTGGGAACAGGGTTTTGGGGGGTCCTTATTATAACTCTTGCATAATATACCACAAACCCTATTCTATTTATAAAGGCCCCTACATTACGTGCAAGAAGCACGTCTTACCCTCACAGTGATTCTGTGTTGCCTGCGTAGGGAAGCTTCGAAGGTGCATCCGGCAGGCCCAAAAAGCTCATCGGGCTTAATGTAGGGGCCGTATGAATTAGAATAGAGTGTTGGGGTATATTATACTATAACTATGATAAGGACCCCCCCCCCCCAAAGTAGTATTGGTATTTATTCAGGCCCCTACATTAGTCACTAGCTTACTCCTGCCTAACTTCAGCAGCTGCACGGATGATTTACCTGCTTTGGGTCGTTGGGCTCTGTGGGGTGAAGGCCTCAACCCTAACTCCTAAATAAATTCAAGGATATTTGTTAGGATGCCGAACCCATGGACTCAACATGCTCAGACATGAAATTTGGAAACCGGTTTAGCCCGGAATGGGTTTGGGGCTTTAGGGTTTAGGCTTATATGGCTTGTGGTCTAGACTCTCGGGCTTTCTTGTAGTTTTGCATGGTGCAACGCTTCTCAAGTTCTGAAGCCTAACGGACTAAGAGTCTAGGGAGACTGCAGGAGGGTACTCTGCGTACTCAGTGTATGCCACAGGGAATTACCTGACCCCCGAACTCCGAAAGTCTCGAGAGGATTGAAGGCTTGAGAATGTTGAGATGTCGGATTTCGTAAACTGTTCTGTTGTCCAATGAGTGCAGTTGCACCCCTCTTCTTAGACATTGCAAGCCATCCAGCCTCAGTATGTGCCTAGCAGGACGATACTCATGTTTAGCAGCTTCCGAGCCGGCGGCTCACGTCGTCATGCAGTTGATGCTTCTCTACTGTGACACTACCATCAAGACCGCTTGAACACGCACTTAAACATGAACGACAAAGATTTTGTGTAGTCCTCGCGGATATCGTGAGGCCAAGCTGACATGGGACAGGTGGTCACGACGGTCATAACAGTGATGATGAAAACGAGCACGCTCATCCTCACAACACGCCTCTAGTATCTTTACCATGTTCTTCTTCAGCATCACCATAATAAAAGTAATGGCCACTATCGTGAAGATTGTAATCACCACCATGATGACAATGGCCAGCGCTCTGGACAAGCTGTGAGTCTACATCGTGATATTTGCTCTGCCAAGGTGCCAAAATCGAAAGTGAATTCCAGATCGTGCTGATGAATGCCTCAAGAAGCAGAAACTGGCGAAAGAAGGTTCAACGCTTTGTGCATCGGTTGCTTCGGGACCTGGAAACGCTCATGATTTCAGAATAACGAAGTTCCAACTGAGACAGTGTTCTGTCACGAAGCATGAAGCAGGAGTCTCGCTGCGAGCTGAAATAACTAACCATGCCCTCGGCTTTCCTGAAAATACTGTCTGGTGCTTAGTCGGGAATGGGGCAATGGATCCCCATGATAGTCCCTTAAGGTCCCTTATAGTAGTCCCTATAACCCATTCCCCCATTCCTTACTAAGCACCAGACAGACCCTAAACCCCTAAACCCCTAAACCCCTAAACCCTAAACCCTAAACCCTAAACCCTAAAGCACCAGACAGAACGTGAGTCCTGACATGTCTGAAAGCTTCCTGCAACAGCGGCTTCCACCGACTTGAAGACCCTCCGAGGCTTTAGGGTTTAGGGTTTAGGGTTTAGGGGTTTAGGGTTTAGGGTTTAGGGTTTAGGGTTAAGCTGATCCCTGAAGAGACAGGTGGCAAACTAGAGGCGTCTCCACTTCTGCAAGCGCGGCTTTCACTGCGAACGCCTGCTGGCCGAAACGGTTAGCAGTCCTATCACTGCTATTACTGGTTCTCTGCTACTACCGCTACTACTGCCGCTGCTGCTGCTACTACTGGCTGCTACTACTACCACTTCCACTGCGAGTATTAGTGTACGGGGTTTAGAGCGGAAGGCTTGATGAAAGGTATTCACTAGGAGCCGCGGCAGCTGGTGGCAGGATGTTTTGAGGTGCAGGTGTTACAAGGCCTTCAACACGTAACCGTAAACGCACCCTCTAGCATCAAAGCGAAGACTTGAGAAAAGGTTTGACCGTTTCCCCGGCAAAAAACCGATCAGTCCTCTCCTCCTCCTCAATGGGGCTATGGCTGTGGGGTCCTCCTGCTGATCACAAGAGCCCTAAGACCATCGAGCCCCACAGTTGTTTCAAGCTTCGGCCCGTAGCTACGGTACTTGGCGGACCCAAACAAAGGTGCCTGACCATTGTGGCCCTCCAAGATCACAAGCTTCCTCGGCTCGGCGCATGGACAGGGTTGAGTTTGATCCCCGCCGCTTTGTGCTTGTGTTTGTCTGTGTGCTTGTGTCTGTGATCTCCGTGGCCAGGACTGTCGTTACTTGCTTCAAAATGCTGCTCGTTGCTTGCACAGCTGCCCATTTCAGTGGCTGCATGGTTGCCTTTGCAGAATCACTTGCTGCAACTTGCAAACCGCATGTCGTGTTGGAGATATTGCCATCGCGCTCCGGATAAGTGTCTCTTGTCCGACCGATGAGTCAACCATCGGAGAAGCCTTACGCAAGAAATCCGAATCTTTCAAACCGACGCACAGATGCCGAAAAGCTCCACTACCTGGGGACCCATTTGCACTTTCGGTGGTTCGCACGAACAACAAAAGGATCTGGAGGTTTTGGGGGGCTGAAGCTGAAACCGCCCCCGGGATGTTGTGACAAAGGTTCGTCCCAGAAGGCAGACGTCCTTCATCTTGCAGCCTCTTCAATGCCTCAGTGGCTAAAGTATCGCTTGTCATTTTGCACTTTCCGGATGTCCCACAATGCAAATCCAACCGACCCAGACTTTCGAGCAGTTAGCGCTTCTTTTTCAAACGTTTCAGTCCCGTTCGAGCGGCTTGCAGCCCTTTCCCCCACTTTGCTTTCATCCTTTTCCCTTTCCAGCGCAACTGCTCTAACCCCTTTCGAGCGGTCTTCTCTTCATCGAATCCTTTCGTCCATTTCGATCGGTTTGCTCATCTCTTTCAAACGCACAAGTTCCCTTGAAACGGTTAACTCTTCTTTCCAAATGCTCTCTGTTTCTACCGCGCTTCATCTGCGTTTTCTCAAATGCTCGTCTCTTTTGACCTGTTTTGAGGCTCTTTCTCGAATGTTGTCACTTTTATATCTGCTAATCCCGTTCGAGCGGTTCGTAGCTCTTCGCTCCTTCATTTTCCGACATTCTCCGATGCCTGTCGAGCAGCTTGCTGATCTTTCTCAAATGCTCTAATCCCTTCCGAACGGTGTGCTCCTCTTTCTTACATGCTCTTGCCTCTGTCGACTGTTTTGCTCCTTCTGGGCAAGTGCTCTAACCCCTTGCGAACGGGTTGCTGCTTTTGCTGCTTCTCTCAACTGCCTTTTCTCGGCTTGCGCCTCTTTCGCAACTGTTCTGGTCGCGTTCGACGGGTTTGCACCTCCTTCTCGAATGCTCTAGTCCCGTGCGAGATTCTCTTTGACGAAGCACTCTGTCCTTTTCGAGCGGTTCGCGTCTCTTTCTCAAAAGCTCTAGCGCCTTCAAGAGTTTGGTAATCAGCTTTCCTTATTCACTCAAAACAGCCCTTGTGTGCTGTTGGCTCTTCTTTCTTAAACGCCCCTGTGCCTTCCGAACCGTTTGTTCCTTTGTCAAGCGTCCTTATCCCCTTCGAGCTGAACGCTCCTCTGTAAGGTGTGCCTTGCAGCGGTTTGCTCCTGTTTCTCACATGCTCTAGTCTCCATAAAAAGGCTTGCCTGACTTTCTCAAACAGTTGCGTCCCTTCGCGCAGTTTGCTGCTTTATCAGAAGGTAGGCTGCCGATCTTTCTCAAACGCTGCAGCCGCATGCGAACGGAGTGGTGGGCTGCCCTGCTTAAAAGCTCCTATTCCACTCGAGCGCTTTGGTGCTAAGTTGCAAACGCTCTAGTCTCACGCTGGCCCCCTTTCTGAGTGGCCTGCTGATCTTTCTCAAGCGCTCTAGTCCCTGTCGCGCTCTTTCTCAAACGAGCAGTTTGCTAGTCTTTTCGAGCTTCTTGTTCCTGTATTGGGGTGCTCCAGTCTCTTTGGAAGGGCCTGTTGTTTTTTCCAATTGCTTTCGTCTCCTGCGATGGATTTCTGGTCCTTCTCAAATGCTCCTTCTTTCTCACATGCTCTCTTCCCTTCCGAGCTCTTTGAATCCTCTGACCCCCTCGCTTTGCCTTTCTGTCTCCAATGCTATGACCCCTGTCCAGCAGCTTGCTGAGTCCCTTTCGGGCGGGCTGCGGATCCTTCTGAATCGCTTTTGGAGCGTTTTCCTACCTTTCTTTTTGAATCCCTAGCCCCTTCGGACCTGTTGGCTCTCAAACGCTCTTGAGCTAGTTTCGAAAGGTGTGCTTCCTTACTGAAATTGTTCTAGTTCATTGCGAGCTTTTGCCTGCTTTTTCTCAAGCACTCTGGTCCCTTTCGAGACCTTGGCTGCTCTTCGTTGCTTGTTCCAATCCCTTTCGTTGTGCTTTCTTCTCTCATATGCTCTGGTCTCTTTCGAACGGCTTGCTGCAACCTGGAAATTCAAGCTGCTGCTTTGTACTCCGCATAGTTTGCGGCTTTCTCCTCGGTGACCTTGCGTCCCAGGTCGAGGGTTCAGGGTTTAGGATCTGGGGGAGTGGCTTACGGTAGCTCGCCTACCACTAATTGCTGCAACACGCTGATACGGCGGTGGATCGCTCGGTTTGGGGGTATATTCTACTATAATTATTAAAAGGAACCCCTAAGACCCTATTCTAATCATTAAGGCCCCTACAATGCGTGTATGAAGCCATCCTATTACTTCGCCTGGTTTGCCGGAAAGTTGAGACTCGGCTTGCTGGCTCTCCTTCTACGCATGGCAGCCTGCCAATGCTACCTCCCCCTTCGCTGTGCTTTGTCCACAGTGCCAACCCTGTTTCAAAACATGCAGTATAATCAAACTAAATAATACACTAGTATTCATAATACTATTTCATCATTATCTATTCATTATTTGTATAATCTACAAAGCACCCAATAGTTGTATTTCCCACAAGAGCAGACGTCCGGCCTTTCCGGCTTTCCAAGTCGTCTTCTTGACAACTTTGAAGCCTCGGGAAAATGTGCTTCGGCGGAGAGGCGCCCCTTTTTTGTTGTTCGGGGGCGCCTCGGGGATGACCCTAAACCCCAAACCCAAACCCTAAACCCTAAACCCAAACCCTAAACCCTAAACCCTAAACCCTAAACCTGCTGATACTCAGCAGGAAGGTCTGAGAAAGACGCGTTAACAGAAGTGTCCATGCCTATAAACAAACGGCGCCACGACTGTTTTACTCCGCTTGAGCCATGTTGGCATCATAGTACATATGGTTACCCTGAGCTTCTGTGCACATCAGAGCACCACACATGTTTCGGATTCAGACTTCAGCACTCCTCCTCTTCTCATAGTCGCTGTGACTCTGAGGAGCCTTTACATAAGGAGCCTGAAGCCGAACATCTTAATCATCACTTGGCGGCGGGACAAGTACATACAAACCGCGTGCCCGGTCACAGTAGTCACACAAATCATATCTCTTCGATGCCCTAACGGCGTTTCTTTGACCATGGCAATAGGAAGTCATGTGAACCTTGTCCCCATGGGCCGTCACATAGAAAGGCCCCTTGTACTCACACAAGCGATTAGCTGGTATCAAAGGTACACCAGCATCCGTTTGAACGCCTGCATCAGCGCTCGTTGTCCACACATCGGAACTTCTCGACGTTCTCGTAGAAGCCTGCCTCCTTGTCAGTCTCGATGATGAAGTCGCGGTAGGCGAAGACATGGGAACACTTGCCATTTCAAGCTCTAGCCTTCTGAGCTCCTCCTGCACTGCATCCCTGGTCCTTGTTCTCAACCTTTCCGTCCTTTGTTGCCTACGCTGACGAACACTCCACCAGGACCAAATCTTGTTGAGAATCTTCTTGGCGAACTCCCACATCCCAACTGCCGCGATTAAGGCCACGATCATCATGAAGTAGAACTCCACCGAGCCATCTAGAGGCAAATCTTCCTTGTTCCCATTCACACCCTTGATCAAGCACAGACAAACCATCACAAACAGCAGCATACCTCCACCATTGGTAGGTCGCATAGTCCGCAATGCTGCATTCGACGCCTCCTTGGCGACACATGGAATGATCTGCCACAGATCCAACAGTGCTTTGAACTTCGGTAGATCGAACCCCTTTGTACCGAGGTCGGCTTTCTGTAAACATCCACTCACGTGCGAGATGACCAACCTTTGCGCTGCAACTTCCTGACGAAGGAACCGGGCCCTTATGCGCAAATGGCGAGTCTTCCAGCTTCCCGGGGACTCGCTCGCGAGTCCCTGTGCTGCAACATTGTCGATGCGTAAGTGCATCACCGGGTTGAAGTCCAGCTCCGTCAACAGTGCCATAACACCAAGTCCTAGCTGAACAGCTGAACATCCTTCGTAGAGCTCAGCTTCGGCTACCGACAACGTAATCACTGGTTGCTTCGATGCTCGCCATGCGACCGGCATCCCAGCCACTTGAGCCATCGTAGATCCGTAGGACCTTCCCCCGCCTGGAGCATAGCTTGCGTCCGAGTAGACCGCCATCAACGGATCTTCCGGAATCTCCTTGTACCAAATGCCGTACTCAGCTGTCCTGGCTAAGTACTTTAGCACTCGCTTGCTGATTTCCAATGTCCGCTGCGGCCTTTTCAAACAACATGAAGCCATGCATCCCACAGCATGAGCCAGCTCTGGCCTGCTCCTCGTAGACAACCACAGTGCCTCGCCCGTAGCTTTCTGAGCCATCTTCACCACAGACTCCTCTGGGACCTCCACTTCGTCGTCCGAGTCCGCATCCTGTAACCACTCCCGATTGCAGGGCACAGTTAGGCCACCATTCACATCCTCCTCAATTCCATGTTGACGTAGAAGATCTCTTACATATCCAGACTGAGACACATGCACTCCTTGTCCGCAAACTCTCAGCTCCACTCCGAGAAACCTTAACGAGCCTCCTTCTATCCACTCCAAGTCTGTGCACTTCCAGTCCGACGTCAACCATCGATATATTGCATCCACTAGACCACGCTCTGCCATGATCAGAAAGTCATCGACATAAGCCAGAAGCACACCTTGAAGGGCACCATTGTGTTCGTACGTCACCTTCCACAGGTTCTCGTCGGTAGTTGTAGCCGTTAGCACCACCATCATTTCCCCATATGGAATCTTCGCATCGGCCAGCCTGGCATTCCTGAAATCCCCCCAAAGACGAGGAGCTTCCCTGAGTCCATACAACACCCGAGTGATCTGCCATGTCTCGCCCGGTGCTGCGGCTCCAGCCAACACGACCACTGTAGGAGGGGTCAAGGCATACATCAGCTCCTCCGGCATCGGAGCCAAGGTAAATGCGTTAGCCACGTCCGTACTGGCAATGCACCACCCCATCTTGACCGCCAAAGCCACTGCAATTCGTAAGGTATCCGCAGAAGTGCCTGAAGCGTATACATTTTGATCTTGCTGAGGTAAGAAGTTTCCACACACCACCACCCGGCACTTGCGCCTATACTTGCTAGGTCCACTGGGATCCACCGGCGGTTTGACAGTGAATACTGCCTTACCCGGCAGCACAACCAATCCACACTTCTTTAGCTCCCGCGTTTGCTCGGGACTGAGTCTGGTCACCGTACCCGAATCCACCAAAGCCGTGACCTCTTTCATAATGGCTTCCTTCCACAATGTAATGTGTTTACGTACTTCAGGCAAGCTGACATTGTGCACGACTTCCAAAGGACCATGTAATGCACGAAGAAGTTCTTCCACTTCCACCTCCTTTGCCTCGCCCGGAGACACCTTGAGAATGCGACGCCATTGGTTGTGCTGCGTCTGACCAAGCTCACTAGCACAACGCTCGAACTCCCTTTGTAGAAAGTTGAGGTAGAACGGACTGCTGCTCGACGCACCATTGGCTTCCTCCTCTATCTCACACCTTAGAATCCGAGCTGTCTGTTCAATCTCCTCCTCATCCGACGTCCCATCCTCGGAGTCCTCGCTTGCCTGGTCATCATAAATCAACTCCTCATCCACCACATCATACACTTCAACACCCGTCCGCTCCAGAGGAAACCCACATCGGTTGAGAAGGGCTACTGAATATGGCGGTAGTGTGTCCACACCAAGAGGTGTAAACCCAGCAATAATCCACCTGTTGCTATCATCCCCCTCAACGTACGAATGCAACTTCTTTGGGTCAAACACAGCCACTTTGTTCTTGATGTTAACCACACGTCCTTCCGCCAGCGCACCGTCCGGGAGTTGTCGTTGTAGGTCCTGACCCAGCGTGCCGTCCTCGCTGCTGCCTTCGTGAGCATCAGACAACCATAGGCCCTCAAACTCAATGCTTCCAACCTCCATAACAAAGTTCGGCATACCTGGTTTGTTCCTCAAATCCCGATGTGGAGGAATATCCGCAGCCTTGAACACACCCAAAGTTGTCCACCTTGGTTCCCACTTAGTCGTCTCCAAAGTCCGTTGTCTGAGCACCATGTTCAAGTACTTCGTGAGCCAAGGCCTTCTTGAGGTCATAGACGTAGCTCCTCTCATTCCCCCATGAACATACCCACCAAGTATCATCGCCGACGTGTTCCTCCCCCTTGTGACCCTCTTTGCTTTTCCACCCAGATGAACATCGCGCAGAACTTCCGCGCACGTCTCCGAATCAAACTTGCCCATGTTGTAAAAGTATCTGGCTCGCTCCTCCTGTTGTTGTACCAACGACCGCATCCTCCAACCTGAAGGTATCTGTTCCTCGCCATCCAGCTTTAGTAGTTGAGGTAAAGGTGGTGGTCGTTTGTCACCCATACGGAAATTAGGTTCTGGTAATTCAACAACAGGTACTGCTCCTGAAGATGCCGAACCAACTCCTCCTCCGTCCTCTCCTTCAGGTTCCGCGAGCAGAACATGCGGATCCACAACATTGGTCTTCATATTCAACGTCTCGGTAAGAACTCCACTCTCTCGTAAGACCACAGCTCCACCCTTGATCGTATCCGACAACCCAAGATAAACACCCTCCTCCCATCGATCCGTCAGGTCATACTTCTTGTTATTGCCGAACACCTTCCTCCGAATCATCACCTTAGAGCCGAACTGCAGTAGTTTGGGTGTAGTCAAACCGAACCGCTCATGCATCCTTCGGTTCGCCGCGTGCTGCATAGCCAACGTCCAATACTTGAGTGGAACCTTAGCCTCCGCCATCAGCACCTTGGCCATCGTCTTGAACCATCTAACTCCCCTCTCAGCTGCGCCATTCGTTTGGGGGACCAAGGCTTCCGAACGGGTGTGGTAGATGTCGTGGTTCAACAACCATTTTCGCAACCCTTTCGAAGCAAACTCTGACCCACGATCCGAGTGCAGTCTGGCCACAGGGTAACCCAGCAACTTCAGCCTCAGCACCGCTTCTTGCACTGCTAACATTGCATCTCCTCCACGCCGGGAACGAACCGGATAGACCAAGTAGACAGTATCCATCTCTACTGGCTTAGTGAGGTCTCCTATGATCTTTTCCCAGGTCTCCTCATCCTTCGCCAGCTCGTCTTCATCTTCCGGAACCTCCGCCGTCGAGACAGTGAAAGTTGTACGTCCGGTCCATGGTCTCTCCAAAGCTCTCGATCCGGACTGTGGTCCATGCCAATCAGACGTCTCAGTGTCCACTCCACCACTAACAAACTTCACCTCAGTCACCCTGGTGTAGTCGAGAATGTGTGGTGAAATAGGGCAGCCGTTCCACGACGTGGGCCTAAACAAAGTCGTTCGCGGAGTCACATGATGCCGCACCAGTACTCCTGAAGATTCCCGAAACTCCCACCAATCATCCGAAACCTCCTTCTTCTTGGCCGCTCTTGCTGCTGGATCACCACCATCTGCGTTTCGCACTAGACTGGCCTCGGGAAAAGGTCCTGGCTCCCGTTGAACACGTCGAAGTTCTTCTTCGGCTTCGGGGGTTAACATCTCATCTTCCTCCATGTCCGGCACATACTCATCAAAGTCCTCTGGGTCCTCGGTTGTCTTGGAGATTTCCTCTTGCTTCACATCCAAACTCCATCCATCAAGATCTCCTTCAGGGATAGGTTGATCTTCTGAAACCAGCTTCTGTTTCGGGAACTGGTAGGTGAAGACCACAGCATATTTCTCCCCCTTCACCCCGGCGACTCTCACAGGACCCAAAGTGTCCGCACTCAACACATAGCAATCTCGATGTAGACATTTCCTATGAGGCCTTCCCGTAGCGTTGTGGATGCACTGCAAACAGTCGGCACGATATGGAACGTGATCGTTGGCCAAATGTCTTTCCCACGCTCTCCGGTCTACGGCCTTCACCGCCTTGACCATTCGGGTGTACCACCCCGGACGCTGTTTCCATCTCTTAAGTCCTCGGACAAGCGTTCGCACCAACATCGGCGCCCACTGTGACCACGACCCTTTCTCCTCCTGGCCCATTGTTCGTCCATCCACAACCCCCTTCAACTCTGCCACGTCCATATTGGTAGCCATAGTCGTTGGCCTCCTCAGAGGGTGTCCCAAACCACCTTGTTCGAAGTGACAAAGGTCCATGTGTCTCTCTGCAATCCAACGCCGGAACCATTTGAACAACCAAGTCAACGACGATTCATCTTCCTCGGACTCTGACGACGCCCACAGTGAGAAAGCTACTCCATCCAATGGAACATCTGCCTCCGTACACATAGCCATTCGCCCTGCCGTAGCCACCTCATACAACACCGTCGCCCGCAGCGTATGATCTAGTGCCCGGTGCCGAGGTAGTCCCTCCAGGATTGCCGCAACTCGACCAGTCGCTGCCCCCCATAACAACATCATCATCACTCCTGCACCGCTGCGACACAAGTCTAGCTGAGGAAGACGTTGGCTATCGATATCCAACACCACCGTGCCGTTGCTCTCCACCACCTTGAACAGCTTGTCCGTAGGGGTCCTTCTTCCGCTGCACAGCTTTACCACCCAGTCCTTGGACATCAGCCTCTTCCGCATTCTCCGATTGAAACCCAGTTGCTGCATAAGATCCCAGGC